GGGGGCGTTTGGGGCTCGGGGGCCGCGCTGACGACAACCGCTCCCTATCATCGGGTGGGTGTGTAGTGGGGTGGGGGCGTCCCCTCGCCTCCTCTCCAGGGGGTGCAGGAGTCGCGGGGGCGGGGCGCGCAGGGTTTGCGTGCCGCGGCCGCCGCCACCACTGCCATCCGCTTATCGGTCAGGCCATCTCGGACCTCACCTGGACGCCGTTCGGAAAACCGTTTCCCCCTCTCTCTCCGCTGCGGCGGCGCCCCTCTGGCGGGGAGGGGAGGGTTGGGGAGGACGCATAGGCGCTGAAAGAGGTCGTGGTTTTGACAGCGCGCGTGATCGTGACTGTCAGCATTTTCTTTTTGGGGCGTGAGGGGTGGGTGCTGGGACAGGCCCGACAGGACACTGGTAGGGCGGACAAAAACAATGTCGGCCAACCCCTTCCCGCACGCACTTGTCTCCGTGGTTCTTGTTGTTCACGCGCGCTTTTCTCATGATTCTGGTGGTTTTGTTGAAAGAGTCTGCAGCGCCCGGTCAGCGTGGTCAGCAGCATGGCGCTCTGCGGGGTGCGCGGGGCGGCGATCCTCGCCCTGACAGTGAGTACCCAACCCACACCGCATCGCTCCACATCAACATCAGTGTTGACTCGCTATTGCTGGGTAACGCAGGGGGCAGGCTTTCGCTATCGAGAGCAGCCATCCCCCTGCAGCCTGGACATGTATTGACCGTGTGGTCGTTGCACCCAGGCCGTCCTGCTCGTGTCCTCGTCAGCGCTGCCGGCGGCTGACACGGCCGACATGCAGTCGTCGGGCGAACAGGCCGTGTCCGCGTCCGACGTGTCCTCGTCAGACGCATCCGCCTCGACCTCGGACATGGCGTCGTCATCGGGGGCCTCATCAGTGACCGCCCCGTCGACGGCCCCGCCCACCACTGCCGCCACCACGCCCGAAGCCACGATGCCGGCTACTTCCCCGACAACAGTCACCCCAACGACGACGATGAGGACGACGACGACGACTAGGAGACCAACGACGAGAACAACAAGGACCACTCCAAGAAGGACCACACCCACAACCCCAGCGACGACCAGGACGACAAGAACTACCAGGACTACTCCCACGACCACAATGACCACCAGAACGACCAGGACGACAAGAACCACAGCAACCACCCGAACCACAAGAACGACACCCCGTACCATGACTACAAGAACCGCAGCACCCACGAGGACAACAAGGAATGGCAGGACTACGCGGACCACCCCGACGACCACAACGCCCTCCACCACGACTGTGGGCGGTAGGGACATGAACAATGCGTCGACTACGCCCGACATGAGCTCTGGAGGAACAACCGAAAATCCGACAGCACTACCCCAGAGTAGAACCACGACTTCTGACATGGACGACATGAACAACACGATGTCGTCCATGGACGCAATGGACATGTCGACCACTCCAATAGACTACCCCGACGAAACGACTACTGCCGGACCCAACATAATCCCGATCCCCGCGCCCATACCTCTGCCGATCCCCATCCCCATCCCGATCCCATTCCCGATCGGGCACCCCCACGGGGGTGACCATGGGGGAGGGCATGCGCTCGGGGACGCCGTGGCCTCGGATGACGGCGAGGTCTGGGACGACGAGGAGCTTGTGCAGGCCTTGGCCGAGGCGTTGCACATACTCGCCCCCAAGCCCATCTTCGCGCTGCTGCTGGGAGAGGTCGGCCGGGAGCTGGACAACGAGGACGGCAGCAGCAGCAGCGAGGAGGACTACGACGACGACTACTGGGTAGACTGGGATCGGCGACGGCGGCGGAAGAGGGACACGGGGGACGAGAGGGAGGAGGATGAGGAGGAGGAGGACGAGGACGACCACAAGAATGCCGACGACGAGAAGGCCTGGCACACTCTGGCGGCCAGGAGGGGCAAGGCGATTGCAAACGCGCTCAATATCCTGCAGCGGCAGCGTGGTGACAAACCCACCGACCTGCAGTTCAAGGCGACGCTGAAGAAAGCGTTTCACCGCGCCAGGGCCAGGGTGATGGGAGCCACTGCCGAGTCGCGCACCGCACCGGATCCACGACCGGACTTGGCGCTCCTGGCCAGCAGGGCTCTAGGGGTGAGCAGGTCGCAGGTCGCCAAGGCTTTCAGCGAGATGGCAACCCGCTGGGTTGGCGAGGCCCTGTACGATCTGCTGTTCGAGGACGGCGACGACGACGGCCTGGACGACAACCCGTGGAGCCTTAACTGGGACGCCGACGTCAAGGTCAACGGGAGCTTTAACTTGGCCAGCAACGCATCCTCGGCGTCGTCCGCAGCGCCATCACCAGCGCCACGAGCGTCGAGGAAGACCTCGCCGTCGGGGTCCTCCAGGACGAAGGACGACCGCGACCTGGACCTGAGCCCGACTTCCGTCGCCTACTTCTTCCTCGAGCTCGTGGGCACATTGGTGGGCCTCGGCTGGGGGGCGTTGATTGTCGCCCAGCAAGCGGGCTGAATAGTGGGTCAACGTGATAGTGCTCCATACTCCGGGACCTACGGGAGAGAGAAAAAGAGAGCGAGCTAGCTCCATACCTCTTCCGCGCAGCCGGGCTGCGGGGAGAGTGATCAGTGCCAATCCTAATTTTAAGCTGACTTATTGTGTATGATAGACCCTACGATAAATACCTATTTATTTATAGACTTTCGAGTAACTCTGCGACTGGCCTGTGTGCCTTCGGTTCACTGATTTCTATTCATCAGCTCAAAATGTTTGCAGCAAAGACGAATAAACCACTGAGTGCCTGTGTTCGGTATTTCTTTCAGTCTCGACGGTTTTGATGAGCACGGTGCGTATGCAGTGCGTCATGCGTCTGGGCAGTCTGGGCGCCACCACCGCACCCGTGCCGCCCCCGGCCCAGGGCCCGGGCATCGATTTGACCCGCATGTTGTCCGTATGTCGGGGGCTCATGGAGTTACGTGAGTCTACGAGACTACCCACTGAACCGCATGCGCAGGTTGCATAACTGCGATATCCTGGGGAACAAACGGAAATGTGTCGTGTGTGTTTTGGGTAGTGACACACGCCAAACTCTACAACTTGAAACGAATGAATTATTTTATATTTTATTAGTTACGAGATCTATGATACATTTACACATAATCAGTCGTTGAAAGTAAACCAAGAAACTTTCTTTTGTCCTACCAATAAATTATTAAATACGAAAATATTTGACACATATGAAGCGGTAACGTTTCACATAATCATTTGTGAATCCTTTCAAAAAGTCCTTACACCTAAATGGTAACACACTGGTTGAGGTTTTCCGTCTTCGTCCGACTAGCATTTCGAGTAAGACATAAGTGGGAGCCCGAGAGCTTTCCTCGAGCTAAGTACACTTTGGGCATTTGCTCTGCGCAGTCGTGTTCCTCGCGACCAGGACGCCCGATCCCGTGTCGCCTCGAGACTGATTGCAGGGCGGGGGG